GGGAAAGCGGCTAGAGGCAATGATGAAGCAATTGGAGTTATTGTAAAACCCTTCGTCTCCTTACGACGCGTGTCCTCGGTGTCAGAAGATCGAAGGCTGGGGGGCAGTTGATGGGACATTTTCGAAATACTCCAAGATGAAGACACGTGTCTTCGGTGTCACTAATCCTTGTTACCGAGATCACGTACCCATCGGTTCACAAGTTCCCTCTCCCCCGAGGTACTTATCATAGGGATCAAGTGGGCATCCAATACGTTTTTATGTACCGACACGTACCCCTCGGTCTAATATGGTACATCGATCGCTAGGCCTCCCCCTCTCGGCTCCGAGATGTACCTCTTCCTCGGTACCGAGATGTACCCCCTCGTCCAGGATGTCGTTCTCTGCTCCAGCAGAGGCTATTGATGTACAGGTCACTAGCTTAGGCTAGATTAGGTTAGTTATCATGACCTCGTCTTACGCAATTAGTGTCAGAAGACACAGAGGGCAGAGGGCACAGCCTATGGGGAATGGACGTGTGGCATATTGTGTCACATCAGAGACAGAAAGACCGGATGCCCTTGCAAACATACGACTTGGGAAAGTAAGCATTTAATTATACCATTCCTTTGATGAGACAGCATTTAATGCGATGAGGCTCGGAAGTGAAAGATAATAAATGTCTCTAAGGCTGGACTTTTATTACATCCTTGCCGAGAGGAGTTCATTGAACCGTCGGCAGGCCGATGACACAGTCTTGATTGCTCGGGGTCCCGAGCAGTTAAAAGAGAAGACATTCCTCGTAAGAATCAGTGCGCACGTTACCTGTATCTAATGATCACCTACAGACCACACTGACAGTAATCATGAGTATTTGAGGTATAAATACTCCTCACAAAAGACAAGACAAACAAGGTGAAACATTTGCTACAAATTATACTCAGTGTTTTCTTCTTCCTCTCTCTCAAAAACTGACTTGATCGTCGGAGGGGATACGCCGAAAAACACTCCGGCGTCCTTCTAACTTGTTCTTATTTGTTCCAGGAACCTTTCTTCAGCCTTACTGGATCGTTCCGTTAATCCACGAGAGTCTCTAATTTCCGTTTCAGGTTACCACCAGACCTCACAGGCTGTTCCAAGCAGCGGGGTTGACCACTCGACTGACTCACTTGAGTTCACCAAATGAGAGATATGTTCTCGTATTTATAATGTGCAAAATCCAACACGCACAAAGGGCATGCTAAAAAAAATTAAAAATTGAAGAGGACTTTGAGCTGCTATCAAATGCCAAGGATTACAAATCCATAATACCAATCAGAAACCTCTATAACTTTTCAGCCTCGAAATGCTAGGAAAACAAAAGAAGAATTNCAAATGCCAAGGATTACAAATCCATAATACCAATCAGAAACCTCTATAACTTTTCAGCCTCGAAATGCTAGGAAAACAAAAGAAGAATTTTGGTGCAAGAGAGGGTGGGGGGAGCTGTTAATGTGGATTCCCACCTTGAGTTTTTCCCTTCTTTTTTTTTTTTTTGAAGGGTAAAGAAATACAGCTTGAGATCGAAAAAAATAATTCTAATGAAATATGTTTGAAATTTTTAGTGTTGCAAATCAAACAAAAACATACAAATGACTTTTAAAACTTTGGGACTTGGGACTCGGTAATAACATACAAGACTGAAATAGGACATGAAGTGCAAATTTCAGGCCAAGCAACTGTATCACAATTGCATTGGAGCATGACCCTCCAGTTAATCTCCACTTTGTCAAAACGAACCCTCCTTAATCTTGAGCAATAGTAGGTCTCAAAGGCCTTATAAATCATGTGAGCATCTCAAGACCTATATAATGAAGTAATTTTTACCAGATTCCAACATGCAGATCAAACCTGGGATGAATGCATACCTTTTGGGTAACAAAAAAGCTAATTCCGGCTAAGACAAATTACAAAAAATACAAAGTTACAAAAATGAAAACAGTACATACCTGTAAGATTGAGAAGGAGATCTTAGGGGACTCCGAGCAGCCCCCCTAGGACTCTCTGACCTGCTGCGGGCGTAGTCCTCATCATGAGCAGTCTGAACATTTTCTCCTGGACTTAGGTATCTGGTTGACCGCTTGTTTCTATCACCATTTAGAGAAAGAGATTGGGACATCGATCTAGATCGCCTTGAAGACCTTTTGGTCGCCCCATGGTTTCTTTCACTGTGCAGAGAAACAGATCTGGAAATGGATCTAGATCGACGTGGGGAGTAATAAGCATCCCTTGTTCTACGGTCCCTGTTTCAATTAACAAGGAAAAAAACAAACATGAATAAATTTAGCCACAGGAACTGCAAAATCAAAACATCCCGAGATACTGGACACATCTGAATCTCACAAGGGCATTTCCCTACTCAATTTCATGAGACACTATAAACAGAATTGTTTGAACACACTTCACAAAAACAAACATCCAGTGATATGTTTTGGCATATGTTTCACTCAGTTCCCTCACTCAAATTGGAAAAGATAAAACATAACCTTTACCTGCACCTTTTCAGAGTTTGTGAACAAACATAACAACACTTTGATGCAAACACATTTTTAAGGCTTTATGACGCACTGGTTGATCGGCATCTGATAACTTCACAGCTGTCCTTGCCACAACTTTAACACTTCATAATATCTTTTCTTGGAAAATCTCATCATACCTCTACCAGTAAAAACTTTGAATGGCATCCTTTCTTTGAAGATGATATCTTTCTTTGGCCAACTATAAGCTCTATATTCTTTCTTTAACTGGATAGTATGCAACATTAAGATATCAAACTGAGAATTACAACCGTAATTTTGTGATAGTAATCATCTCAAAAGCGATGTTTTGATGGAACCCTTACAAGCAAAAACTCAAAACACAAAAAAGTAAATGGGGCTCAGTACATTATAGTTGATGAAGGTGGATTAAGAAACTTCTGGTGAGTCTTTTAAAGGTAAGCAAAAAGTCTTTGACTTTATGATCCCTTTTCTCTTTTGTCTTTATTAATCCTGAGTTCTTTATAATCTCTCTTTTTCACTTTGGAATCTGCATGAACAAGGCCATCAGCAGATGTCATATTCAATCCAGAGGAACACATGCATATGCTGAGTAACAATATGTGCATTAAAAAGATAGCAATGTGGGTATCAAGAAACCTACAATATTGAAGAGTACGAGCAAAAAGAAAAGACCAAAAGAAAAAAGTGAAGCTCTGTTTTTTAATTTAAATGTCACTTAGCAAATCAACAGAGAGCCATCATGACCGAAGAAGTATTAATAGCGTGATCTAATGCAAGTCCAGTGTAGACAGACAGCTACAGCACCATGCTAGTAGCCTCAACCAAACAGAATGCTTTTTTTACCTTAGGTGAGTTGGGTAGGGATGGGTCCACATTAGAACTTATTTGAGTTTCAATATTTTGTAAAGTCTGACTCAACTACATAGGACTCAAGTGCCCCCTAATGCAGTCGCCTTACAGAAGGAAAAAATCTCGTTCTTTCTCACTGCCAATCATCGAGTAAATGCCCCGACACTTGCTGNGCAGTCGCCTTACAGAAGGAAAAAATCTCGTTCTTTCTCACTGCCAATCATCGAGTAAATGCCCCGACACTTGCTGGAAGACAGTTAAACATTTTGCTAACATGCTTACAATCAAGTACCAAAATATCATTGTGGCATATTGTTTCGGTGATCTAAGAAACAGAAACATTTCNTGGAAGACAGTTAAACATTTTGCTAACATGCTTACAATCAAGTACCAAAATATCATTTCGGCATATTGTTTCGGTAATCTAAGAAACAGAAACATTTTNTGGAAGACAGTTAAACATTTTGCTAACATGCTTACAATCAAGTACCAAAATATCATTGTGGCATATTGTTTCGGTGATCTAAGAAACAGAAACATTTTAGAAACATAATGGAAAAAGATAGAAAATTTAGGAATTTATTTTTAAATATTTCAAAGTATTAGTCTAAATATCTTGAAGCACCTCGAGTAATCTGAAACAGTGGTAAAAACACGCAAAAACATTTCGAAACAACTCGAAACGTTCCAAAATCCCTCAAAACATATTTAAGTATTGGAATTTCAATTCAATCACTAATTCGTTTTGGTCTCCTTAAAAATGAAAACGTTTCGTCAATTTCAACTAGTTCAAAACGATATTTTGATCCTTGCTTACAATATATAGAGTGCAGTCCCAACATTATATGTAGGCATTTCATCCTTTGACATTCCATGGAACTACACAACAGCACAAGGACCATAACAAAATTCAAAATTTTCTGTGTAGAGAGAGAGAGAGAAGGGGGAGACGATAATAATAGTATGTTGGTGAGGCTAGCACAAGTTATTATAAATGAGAGTGCAAGAACGCCAAAGCACACAGGATATAAGAGCAGAACTAAAACTCCTCGTGCAAAAATATATTAAAAAACAGACCTTGAGTCATGTCTCAGTGGAGAAGGTGAGGGCGAGTAAGCTGCAATAAAAGAACTACAAAAAATCAGCAGAATAACTAACAAAAAAAAAAAAAAACTATATGTGCCAATACTAGTGGACAGTATGAATGCCGTTATAGTCATCATTTAACTGCATATGCTAAAAAGCTCATAATATCTGGTTTAAAATGTCAAATGAGTAAAAAGATTGAAAATTCAAACTGACAGCTATATCGGCGTCTTGGGGACCTCGAAGGACTTCGCCTCCTGTAGCTTCCTCGACCACTACATATAAGATGGAAAAAAGAGTAAGCAACTGCTTGAAATAAAAACTCAAATTCTCTTTCGGAAAAAATTCATGCAACCATGTCAACAGAAAAGTACAACTGTATTACACCTTGGGCGTGTCGTCCTACGCATTTCCTGAGGAGTTTTCCTATTCTCTTCTGCGAAAACAATTCTTATCTCACGTCCTCCAATAACTGCACGATCTAGTCGTTGCTTTGCCTCAGTAGCATCTTCAGCATAACGAAACTTCACAAATCCAAAGCCTCTCGGCTCCCTAGAAATTCAAGTAAGAAGTATGCTAAGCCACAGAAATCTGTGATACAACACTAAAAGGACAGCATTTATACTGTAGAGCCCACAAAATCCACCACTGATATCATCTTTTACCTGTGGTTTGTGTAAAAGGTATGTCTCTGTAAGAAACATGAAGCTAAACACATGGATGGTAAAATGTAAAATGAGCAGTAACACCAACACTAGCCCAGAACCTTTCCAAGTACCATGCATCAAACTCCCTTTTTTTTGGGTGATAATCGAACTCCTACTTTAAGAACATAACCTTGGTTTTCAATTGTAACAAACATGTCTCCAGGCTCGAAGGTGCCCAAACTGTTGCAGTTGATGAGTATCCATGTATGAATAATTTTATTCCTAAAAGCAGGGTCCCAAATGAAGAATAGTATGTACAGGTAAATATATATTACTCCCTAGCTAAGCCCAAGACAAAAAATAAATGTAATGACAAAGAAAACTCAGCTGTGATGTTTTAAAATGTGGAGCAATGTTCCAGTGCCATGCATGTATGATTGCTGCCTTTATCTTTATCTTTTTTGTAAGCTAACAATGGTGTCCTTCCTTTTTCTCATTTCTAAGACTTGTCATCAAAATTTTCAAACACTATTAAACGATTTTTCAGCCCATTATCCAATCCCAACATCCATAAGTATTGGACATGATTTTCCATTCAAAAACAATATAAATAAATACAACAGATAACCACAAGACAATGAAAGCATTATTGCCTTTGGTCTTACTATTTCCAGAAACTATATTTTGCCAACTTAACATAGAAGTCTACTTCACAAGCAATAGCTCGTTAAAGGCAGTCTCATGTTGAGTGACAACCTATGAAGCAACAGCAGTGGCTCATAAACACAGGAGCTTTTTCAATATGTGTTCATATATTAATCCGTTTCTATATTCTAGTAATGGAATCTCTCTTGAACATGATAACTGAGAAAATATTTGTGGTTGCATTTTCATTGCCTAGTGTAGTTTTAAGATCCTTTTGTGTCACTCTGAATTTACTTTAAATATGCTTGCTCCCTATTTTCTCAACCGTTTCAATGAGAACAGTGAAAGTAAAATCTTCCATAGTAAACTATCTACCTACGAAAAAAAAATGATAATGATAAAATGTAAATAGACACTGGCAACACCATGAATCTGCGAAAAAAATACTAGAAAATGAAACACAAAATGTCAAAAACAAAGCATACCCGCTGTAGTAATCCTTCGGCAGATACACATCCTTTACTGGACCAAATCGTTCAAATGGAATTCTAAGATCTTCAGGCCTGCACAACATCAAGTGGTACCATTAGGGATTTCTCCCATTTTCAGAAGCATCTATTACAAAATAATTAACTTTTCCAGTCTCCCTCTCTCCTACACCCACAAGAGACTAATGAATAATCCTCAATTTGAACAGATTACATTAACAATGTCAAGCGGTTAACATAGTTGAGTTCCCATGTGAAAAGAAAAGGTAAACAATTGCCTATTAGATTTGCCACCTAAATATCTGTACTATTTTTTCTCTTTTTCCCCTTAATTCATTTTGCTACCCTAAAAATATGCAACCAACATATAATAGAACAAATGAAAACTCCTAGAAATGAGGTACAACGATAAGGACTATATTTCAATAACGATGAAAAACATGTTCGCAAATTTTGTAAATAATCGAAGAGAAATGTGGGAAACGCCCTACAATTGTCGGAATAATGAACATTTTTGAAAATTATTGACAACAAACAACGAACGATAAACAAGGTAAAAAAAACGCTATAAAAGTGTGCATATACAGATATAAATCGGAAAAACATAGTTAGAAGAGACAATTAGAACAGGATTATTACAGACCTTGCATTAAGGGAGATGTTGCGAACAAGAAGACCAGAAGGGGCAGGGGATCGACGGTCTCTGCGGGACCTTTCGCGAGGATCGTCGTAGCGTTTGCGTCTCCTTGGGCTGTAACTCCTGCTTCGGCTTCTGTACCTCCCCATGGCTTCCAAACCTTCGCTCTCTCTCTCTCTCGTTCAAAGGAGGACTCTGAAAAAGCTAACCTGGTCGGGTAAAACCCTAACCCTAGAATCTAATCAGACTATTTGTGTGGAATGGTATTTATTTGGAGGGAGATACGAGATGACGTGTTGAAATACTTTTTTTTTTTTTCCCCGGTAAGTGACGTGTTGAAACCTATACTAATACGATAGATCACAATTTAAATCGTAAAATTAGAAAAACACAAGAATGGTTCAAATTTGTTTAAAAATATTGATCCAATTGTCTAAAATTACTCCCACAAAATCTCAAAGGTATAAAATTGATCCAAATATTAAAATCACTCTCAATCATTCTGTCACATGTCATCTCTCTTTTCCTTCACCACTCTCAACTTCAACTTTCTCTGCCTAGCATACCCAGTATCTCTCTGCCCCATCTCCCTCATATCTCTCCCCATCTTTGCCTATTCTCACCCTCTCTTTACTTTACCTCCATCTCTTTCTCCCTCCTCTCTGTTCTCTAACCCTCATCTCAGTTGAAGCAAATCACCGCCTCCTAATAGTAACAACGACGACGATACGCAAAAAGTGTTCGACAAATGCATACATCGCATTCTTTTGGTTATTATTGGATTTTCAAGAGAAGGCCAGCCTCATCGCCACAACACTGGCGTCCCTCTGAGGTAGTTTTCTTTTTGCCCTCCCCTTCCCTTTCCTTTCCTTTCCTTATTTTTGTCATCCTTTCAGTGCACAAACCACCATCGTAGATGCCCTAATTCGCGTCTCCCCTCTTCTTAATTCTCTCTTCTTCCCCTCCTCGTTTCTGTTATCTCAATCTCTCTCAGATGCCAACAACCACACGAGTCTCTGTTATCTATGTCTCAATCTTAGTCTCTCTCTTCACACAACACACACCTCGCGTGCAAGGTGTTCAACCAAATAAACACAATGTGTTCAATCAAATTACCCTAACACTCAACGCACACACGTAGCATGCACAACACACACGCCACACGTCGCATAGCCCACCCACACACGCCACAAAAGCTCACTTTCATGCACAGTATAAACACATAACACACACGTACATTACCCTTAACTATTTATTTGAAATTATTCTTTTTATGCTTAAAAAATCTAAAATGGGTTTTGAAATTGAAATTGTGGAATGGTCATGAAATTTTAGAAGAGCATATTTTTAAATATTTTTAAGAGTTATAAGTTGTTTTCTGTGGTTTGACCTTACCAATTTTGATTAGATTATTGATTTCGGTGAAAATCTTTCCACTTTGTAAATCTTGTTTTTTTTTTTTACTTGTTGGGTATGGGAATTGAGTTGTCGGCAGGGGTAGAAAAGGCGGAGGTAGAATACATGTGTGTATGTTATGTTCTAGCCTTAAAATTTCCTTAATTTCTTTTAGATCAACATTTGCATTCCTTTGTTTTGTATTATTTGTCAACCAATGGCACATATTATAAGATTTGAGCATGAAGGACTATTGCAATGGGGGCTATTAGAAAATTTCAATTATACGTTTGTACTTTGTGTATATGATTTCAAACTATTGGGTTTTGCCAAGATATAAGTTTAGAGTTGGGAATTTAGCATGTTGATTGCTTTCATCAATTGACATTCTTAGAAATCATGTAGTTTCATAAATTATAAGAATTTACATCATTGGTTTAACAACATAAATTTCCATATTTTCTTATGCATCATGGATTCAAGTTCAAAATTTCAATTTAAGAAACAAAATCTGAAAAACATTTTTGATAGCTCTTGTCATTGACAAAATATTTTATTTCGCTTTTTTTATTTTTCAACTTTTCTTTCTTTCAAAGTTGGCCATCGTATAATGTTGTAACAATACTTAATAAATAACTACAAGTTTTAAGTGACAAAGTGTATTTTTTAAAATTTTNTCAAAGTTGGCCATCGTATAATGTTGTAACAATACTTAATAAATAACTACAAGTTTTAAGTGACAAAGTGTATTTTTTAAAATTTTTATATGTTTGATTAGTATAAAATGAAAAATAATGGAAAAAATAATTTTATTTCATACTTAAATTTTTTGACAACTAACCAATTTTTTTTCTTATAAAACACACAAGAAAATAAAAGAAAGTTGTAATCTATAACTAACTTTTAATTTAATACAACGATGACACTGTATCATTAATGTCACATGATATTATTATCCGATAAAAATATAATAAAATAGATAAAATATACTATATTTTTTTATATGCAGTGGCTACAAACTGAGATTGAGTTTGGTTACTACAATATGTGTTATTTATTTACTCACTTATTATATTCTTATTGAATAATAATATCATATAACAATAATTACGTAGTCGTAAAAATATTTTATCTGGCAGGCAATAACATATTGGACTTGATTACGGTACCCAATAAAAAAATTTGATATCGTACATCTAAAATTTATTGTTCTTATGAATAATTTATCACCTATGTGAGTATTTTTATAATAAAAAAACATTTTTGCAAGTGTTTATATCATTTTTATGAATTTTTTTTACTATCATTGGGATTATTATTTTTTTATGATATAGACAAAATTATTATTTTTATGAATATTTTTATTACTATTATAATAATTATTTTTACTAATTTTTTCAATACCACAACAGTGTATTGGGTGTTAACTTTTTTTGGATAATTTTTTATATATCAAATTTATGTATTAAAATTTATATCAAATTAATTACGGCTGTTAAACCAGTGATTAGACCATTGATTCAACAGCTGCACATAGTTGTTTCTTTTTTGCTCGGTAATGATTAGCGAAAGCATAGCATAGCGGATTTTGCATAACATATGTGTCGGAATTTAATCCATCAATCTTAAGATACTCCAAAATTCGTGTTTTTTCACGATCACACGCGGTCATCTGCGCGTGAATACAGATACCCCTTCACTTACTCGTCTGTGTAATGGGACCCTCCTTGACTTCACAGAACACAGGTTCATTTTCGCCCTCTATATATAACTTTTTTTACTTTCCTCAATATCTCCTACCAAAACCTGATGATACTTCACTTCCCGAAAAAACGAAAATCTGATACTTCTCTAACCCAGTTTTTCTGGAGAAAACACTTTGTCTGATTAGCTTATATCGAAGGTAAGACGATGCTATAACTCTTATAATCTCCAATTCATTCATTTCCCTTAAATTAATTCAGTTTTTTCTATTTTTATTACGATTCAGCGGTGTATATGTCTCTATTCACGCATTGATACGAGTGGGTGCGTCACTGATTACGTCAGTCTTGTTGGGTAAATTTAGTTCACGTGTTTCGGGAATTTGAAAGTTTTAACCCATCTTGGAGCTACCCATTTGCTCATGATCCTTATACGATTTGTTAGATGATTTTGATTAATTAGTTACTTTGTCTTTTTTGCTTCAAGATTGTAATTGGGCTAAACTGAGATGTTATGTGCAGGATTAACTGTGTTCAACACTCGTTTTTTGGCGATAGAGAGAAGACCCATTGGATATCTAACGTTTTAGAGCTCAATTTATCATGAATGTATTAAATTGGTGTAGATAGTCAGTTAGGTGACAAAGAAACTAGTAGTGTTCAAGATGAGTAGGTCTGGAAAGAATGTTGATACTTGTGATAGTGTAAATGGAGTTGGGGGTTCAGGTGCTAGTCAGGGGTCAAATGAGGTATGGAGTTATCTTGATCATGAAATTGTGCAACTCACAAACCTTAGATCGACACCCCATGAGCATTTGAGCCGGGTCCTGGCTGGAAAGTCAAGGTTACCTGTTTCACCTGTTAAAATGTTGATCGGTCGAGAGGGGAACTATAGTGGGAGGGGGAGATTTTCATCTGCCGACAATTGTCATATTTTGAGCCAATATTTGCCTTTCTGTGGTCCTCGGATGATTGATAAGATGAAGAGTTGTGCTTATGTATCACAATTTGCGGCTGATGGTTCTCTTTTTATTGCGGGATTTCAGGTATTGGCTTATTCTCCATTGCTTGGTTTGTATAATTTTGCTAAACAACCCTATTAATTGATATTTGTTTAACATGGGATGATTGAATCCATGAAATGTTGACGATTTTACAATTAATGGCCCCTAAACAGGAAAGTCATATTAGGATATATAATGTTGATCGCCAATGGAAAGTTCAGAAGGACATTCGGGCCAAAAGTTTGGGATGGACAATTACTGATACATCTCTTTCACCAGATCAACATTTACTTGTAAGTTTTGGACAGTTTTAAAGCAAGAATGTACCTAGATAGGCTTTTGTATATGAATTGAATCATCCCATGTGTCATGACTTTTAATCCGCTACTCTGAATATTAAAGGATGTAATTCTTATGCACACTGTATCTAATCTAGTCTATGTTGAAGATAATGTTTTATTGCACCCCTAATCAACCTATGATCAGTTATGCTTCACCACCAAACTAGTCTTGCTTTACTCTAACCCCTCAACTATTTATCTAAACACATTGCACCTTCTACTATTCATATGCGGGACACTTTACACAAGTGTTGGTTGCCGCTAATTTTTTGGAGAAACAAAATTCATGCGGTTGTACCCAAATATTGGGACATGGGCTATTTTTGGCCAAAAAATAGTAATGGCTGACAGTCTACACAAAGTATCACCGATTTGAGTAGGTGGAGGTGTTTAACTTACAAATATGCACTGCAATCCATTTACTCAACCAATTTTTCTTCCCCATTTGGGGTATTTCACGTGAGTTTCAAATGATCAGTCCCATATATTTCTTTCTTTTTTTTTCCCCCTCCCTTTTCAGGAGGTATTAGCATGACAGTTCGTTTGAGTTTTTTTTTCCCGTTTTTTATTGATATGGACCCTATGGATATTATAGTACATCTATGACTTCAAATTATTCTATCCACACCTTGTATAGATAATAGACAAATGTTATAGACAGATCCCATTAATTTTGTTCAGCAACTAGTTCTGAAATCTGGGTTATATGGCGTTTGCACCAATGCTTCTTTAGACACAAACATTAGTGTCGGCCTCCTCCCCTTTCTTTGCCTTTTTTGCCTGTATTGTGTTTTTGGCCTTTGTATTTCAAATAGAGTGTCTACTCTTAGTTGATTGTGTGCTTATGTAGTATTGGTGTTATCCAACTTTACGTGTTATCATTCTGTTTTGGTTTTGATGTAATGGTTGCAGGTTTATTCCAGTATATCACCTATTGTCCATGTTGTTAACGTAGGATCTGCTGCAACAGAGTCTCATGCAAACATCACGGTATGTATTAGAAAGTTCAATGATACAAATTTTGAAGGATGTAAGTGCCAAAGTGGTCGCTAATTTCCTGATCTGTTTAAACATTTAGTTTTGCAATTTCTTTGTGTGCTACATTTTACTTCGTGGATCATGCTTTATCTTGGGAAATAGTTTGTGACGGTTGCATTAAAAAAAGAAGATACTTGGGCAGTGGTAGCCACAATTGAAGCAATCAAAAGAAATGGTAATTGTAAAGAACCTGGGTTGGGCAAAGTTCTTTGTGGGAAAGAAAAATTGTGCACGTGGAATTTGTGTTATAGTATGCTGCTATCTGATACATCTGAAATGGGTGATCTGTTCAAGGAGCAAACCAGTGGATTTGATCAATTTCACAATAAAGGTCTTCCATTTGCTGTAACTTCTATTCTTCTTTTTCAGTGTTTGCACCAGCTATATAATTGAGTTGTTGCGCAATCACAACAGAAGACTTGTCTTGTCTACGAGATATTATGATGCACATAATGATTATTGTATAATAAGTTTTTGGTTTACATTTGGAGAACTCGTCACTTATATGATGGAAAATATCCTTCTGAGTTTACTGGACCCTCATACTGAAGTAGATTGGACTGTACAGGGCACTGAAAGGAGCTATGTTCATATATACGGGGGTTAAAGGTTACTGAGCAGGTTTATTTGATGCATCATCTCCATGGATATGGCTTACTGGATGCTAGTGCTTTCTGATTTTGCATCTCGATGATGACTATGTGCTCATGCAGAATCGCCATTCAGATTGTCTCTATCCATTTTCCTTTTTGTGATAGAGATATCAATTATGAGCTGCTTCTATTTCTTAGAATATAATTTTATAATGATTTGTGTTTGGTTAACTTAAAATGCTTTACTTGTGTCACGTTGAAGCTACCTTTGTGCAGGAAATCCATGAGGGCTTGGAATTTTCTGCTGATCATAATGATTATTACGATTACTCTTTTGGGATCTTTTCCGTAAAGTTTTCTACTGATGGGCGGGAGCTGGTTGCTGGAAGTAATGATGATTCAATATATGTTTATGATCTCGATGCAAATAAGCTTACCCTCCGTATTCCTGCGCACAGGGTATTATTGTTGGCTATTGTCTTAATAATGTATAGCTGTATAAGGTTTTAGGTCAATATGGGGCTTTTATGTTTGGAAAATATTATAGTTCGTGAGAGGAACTTTAATATATTCTTCTAGAATTAAGTTCGCAATGTGCGCAAATGGCGGCCTGTTCTGGTGCTTCCACTTGGGCAGGCGTTTAGATTTTTGAAAGTATTAATTCTGGAATTATTTCTGTTGCAGTCTGATGTTAATTCTGTATGCTTTGCCGATGAAACTGGTCATCTCATATATTCCGGGAGTGATGATGACCTGTGTAAGGTAAATCTTATCCCTTTGCCCTTATAGAAAATCTAAGTAATGCATTTGAATTGGTGGCACTCTTTCTACCTTCCTGTATCCTTAAGAGACTTTTCTTCCAACCACCAATCTGTAAGCTACTCAACATAAATTCATATGAGTAACTTACGGAACCAGCAGATGTTGAGAGGTCTTGATTGTGTTGCATGTAATCAGCTTGCATGCACCCTTTTCTTCTTTATTTAGTTTTTTTTTTTTGTGTTCCACACATGAGCGCTGGGGTTTGGGGGGTGGGGGAATTCTTGGGGTATATTCCAAGCGTAGTGCATGATAATATTTCATTGAACCAGTTTCCCTATATCTGTAGTTTTGGAAAGGGAAGAACATGAGGGTTGATAGTTGGTTAATTCATGCCTCTCTGTAGTGCAATCATGTCTCCAATTGCACCACTTATTCACCTGAATGTATACTAGTTATTGACCATTCATTTATTATTATGCACCTTGCATTTTTGTTGGTCAAAAAATGCTTTTGAAATGCAATTAAAATATCTGTGTTGGCCAGTGGTATTTTGGAGAATACAGGTTCTGTTTATGCTTCTTTTTTTTTTTTTTGGCTATGAGTTGACAATGCTTAAATGTATGGGGCAAAATTCTCTTCAAGGGTCAACACTTTTAGTTCAATCTGTTGAGGAAAATCATGAAATGCAAATGCTTGGTCTCACTGAGATCATCATTGCAGCGGATATTTGATCTGCTATTTTATTTAGGAAATGTCTGCAATGCTAATTTATCATCCCCTTCAGGTGTGGGACAGGCGTTGCTTTGCTGCAAAAGGACAAGCAGCTGGGGTCTTGATGGGACATTTAGAAGGGATTACATCAATTGACAGTCGTGGTGATGGCCGCTATTTGATCTCAAATGGAAAAGATCAGGCCATCAAACTTTGGGATATACGGAAAATGTCCTCTAATGTTAAGTAGTATGTCTCCTTTGATCCTTTCTGTCTTCTTTGCTTCTTTCCGCAACTGATATAGATCTACTGCTTGAACTTATTTCGTTCTTACCAGTGTGAAAATAGCACAGTGCACAGTGCACAGTGCTGGCATGGTATAATCGTTGCTTATTCTTTCAATATAACCCCAGAAATGGGTGTGAACATTTAATTGTTGCATAGATATTAGTCTTCTGATTAAGTCCAATAGTTACTTGCAGTTACGTGGTTTGTTGCTTATTAAATTTCTTTGACACAGCAAATCACCGCCTAGGAAGTACGAGTGGGATTACAGAATGATGGAGTATCCAAATGATGCAAGAAATAGGACACATCCAGCGGATCTCTCATTGGCTACCTATAAAGGCCATTCAGTCTTGCGCACCCTCATACGTTGTTATTTCTCCCCAGCATATAGGTAAGTTCTCATGTAGTCAGCCCTGTGAACATGAGACATTCTTGTAAACCTGCATGTGAATCTTTCAGCTTTCACATTGACAGCGACAGTGTTGTATTAAATTCACCTAATCTGCTGGTGTCTTTTAGTGCAATCTATCTCTTGCAAGTTGACTGTCTGCAAATTTGGAATTTATCGATCTGGAATATGCACCTTGCCTCCACACCAGCAATAAAGGATGCGTCTACTTGGATTTTTAGAACCTGAATTGGAATTGGAAATACCTTTATCGACTGAGAGGTCACTAAAGCTAATTGAACTTATTCACATACAGCCATCGAAGTTATTTTCCTGAAATTTTTTGCAGCAAAACCTTTTTGTTTTTATCCCTTTGGCAATCGCTCTTTTGGAAAATTTGATGGGACAACCTCAGCTGTCTTGGTGAATGCTTGATCTAGATTTAGAATATTTGTTTCACATGATATCTGTTTTATTTTAAGAGTATGTCCAAGCTACCAGTCTTATTTATATGTAAATTTTAAATCTCCTGCTACTTTTGCAGCACGGGCCAAAAGTACATCTATACTGGATCTACTGATGCTTCTGTTTATATTTATGATCTGGTAGGTATTCAAATCATTATGATCTTTATCTGGTAACAAGGTTATGCTTTACTTTACTTTTTGTTTTTTGACATAACAGCTAATAGGCTGGGGTGAGTAGCTTGAGAAAGCCATTCTTTGGCATAACCTGTTGTCATGGGATGCATGAAACTTTTGGCAAGTTTTGTGTAGGAGATGAATTGGAACAATATGCACTTATTTGGATGATCCTATCATTTAAAGATACATACCTTTGTGGTTGGAGATGGATTAAGAAGAAAATATCTACTGAATTAGCGATAGTTTAGCAAATTGGTGGTCTGTTATGAAATCCCCTCTTCTTAATCTTGCTTGATAAGGAAAAAAAAAGTGCTGAAAGGGCTAGGTTTTGGATATCATGATTCTGTTGTATGGCTTCAAAAATGGCTACATGAATATAATCATTGCTGTGGAACTCATTGGGACAAGAAGTGGTGGGGTGCTTGGATTTAGCATTTGACAAAGAAGGGTTCAGGCAATTAGGCTACACATTGTTGAAAAATTGCTTGGAAAATACAATAGGCATCAGCTCCTTGATTAGCAGGATGAACACGGGGCATTGGATTTTACTCAGGCTTAAGAAGAAAATTTTCTGTTAATTAACAGTATTAGGTAACCACTAAATGCAAATCTGCTGACACAGGTGACAATGTTATATAACAATCCCTTCATGCTACTTTTAGTTGGTGATTGACTCAAAATTCTGTTCTAGGTGAGCGGAGCTCAAGTTGCGAGGCTTGATTTCCACGAGGAACCTGTAAGAGATTGCAGTTGGCACCCTGTCTACCCAATGATTGTTAGCTCTTCCTGGGATGGTGTCATTGCCAGTTGGGAATTTCCTGGTAATGATGAAAAACCGGTAGTCGTGAAACGGACTAGAAGAAGGAGAAGACCCCTTTACTAATACTGCTATGGGTTTTACATGTTTTTGGCACCTAAGAGTGGAATAATGTAGTCATATAATGTTCACTGTATTTTTGCATTGGAAATATGTGTTGTCAATGTAGCTAAATCTGTTACCTTGTTTTTGGTACATAGAAATAAACTGCTGTAAGCTTTCTTGTTTTGGTATCTCTATGTGGTCCTATCCCGGGGCATCAATGATGTAGAATGGGCTACGGCTTTTGCGGGCAACCAAATTGCAGGGTGATTGTAAGACGCGCATAAGTAAGGGGTATTAAAATATAACACGATTTGTTAACACTGACATAAAATTAGAAGGTTTGAATTTTTTTTAAGTCATCCATTTAGTAAAGGAGTACCAGCGAATTGTTGGCCAAGTGGGTAAAAACTCGAATTTTTTTATTCAATACTTGTGTTCGAGTTTCCATAGTTACGACAATTCGTTGGGGCTAAATTTATTTTTCAGCCCTCAAAGCACGTGGTGGGACTTTAATTTTGGCCCT